TAATAACAATGTTGACCAATAGAATAATAATTAATAAAAAAAAACATAATAATAATAAAAATATTAATTATAAATAAACTTGCTGTAACTTTAAATTCTTAGTAATTAAATTGATGTAAAGGAATCTAAAGTTTTAAAAAAAATAAAAGATTTCAAGCTCTTTTTTCCATGCAGCCTATTTTTTATTTAATTTCAAACAACATTCGCATTCGGAATATATGAAGATAAAAATTCGCATTCGCGAATGTGAAAAAATCGAATATTTCTTACTATTACTAATTATATGTACAAACTAGCCTAAAACCTATCAAATCAAAAAAAAATCATTTTTGTTATCACAGGTGCACAAAATAACATAGAAAGGTCTTAATTCTAGATTCAGATCTTTGTGATATACAATGAGTTATTTAAAAAACTAGTTAAAACTGTATAATACTCCTAATGTAACCTATTTAATAAGCAATTCAAACATGGGCCCTACCTTGGATTAGCTCATTTTGGCTATCTATAGTGGTAGAGATGGGAGCTCGCATGGGTATATCACTTTCATCCTCATGTGCAACTGGAAGTGGTTGTGGTAATGGGTAAACGGGCTTTCAATGCAAATGTTGTGCAGGACACAACATGCCGCTATTATTTTGCTAGCTACATAAGGATGATAGTGAAGTGTCCTATCTCGAAGCAAACATCTCCACCGTGCTTTGCAGTAATCCAAACAGCGTTACAATGCAATTACGCGCTGCACATGTTTTTGGGTATATAGTATCTTCTCTTGAACCTGGAACTGCATGAGGATGGGAGTCATAAAGCCAAGGGCGTTGTGGATATCCAGAATCACCTGAAAAATTGTTTTTGTTAACAAAACAAACAAATTCTTCTACTACTACTTACTACTACTACTACTACTAACATATCAATTACATCTTTTCATGTTATTTTTTGTAAACACTTACCTAATACCATACTTGTTCATTATTTTGATGAAGTTCACGCATGTATGATTCAGCTTTACTAGATGACCATATATGTGAATCGTGTGTGTGTAGCTCCACCAAACTTTGCATTCACATTTGTGTGATGCGAAGAGTGACTGTCACAAATCTGTAAAGTTGGAAACTAATATTCAGAAAATGGGGGGTTTTTATATTTATTTTACCTGAAACAAGTCATAAATAAATACAATTACCATTTTTGAACATTTAATGAATGATACCCTTTTCTGTTTATAAAAAACATGTTCTTCATCATTGGGCTTAACTAAGCCACATGGGTGCAATCTATGCACCCGATTACACCAGGCAGACCAAATCTACCTCTGAAACCTAAAAAACAATAAGTTATATTATTAAATGCATTACATGTACCTAAGAGTAAAATTGTAAATATATAATATGATACATACTCTTGTTTTACATGTCCTCTGCTGTCTTGCCTTGTTTTCGGAAACACAATCCATTTTGCCATAATAGCGGGGTGGTTCAAAGCATCGACTACTTGTCGGATGCAGCGACTAGTTTGTGCCGTTGAGGAAGATTGTGAGTAATACCAACAATTCGTTGATAGGAAAGGACCCCCTGTAGCCGGAAAAACTAACTGCGCACAACACCTATAAAGACAGCCAAAAAGAAATAAATAATAGTGATTGTTAGGGTTTGTGTAGGCTTCGATAACTAAATGGACTGTTTGCTGGTATATATGTATTGTTTAACATTGAATTAAAATATCACATTTTTTGTACATTTAACAAAAAAGTCTTATGCAAAGTTACACCATGCGTGCGTGTGTTCATGAACTCATGTAATGAAACAAAATAAATGGTAGGCTATGCACATTTATTCTTGTACTTAAAACAGCAGATATTACATATTTGGCATATCTTTACCTTAACTTCTAGTGGAATCTCATTGGGATCCTTTTAAAGAAGTTTTCCGTCGTAGGTCTTGAACGAGGGCTTCGAAAGTCACTTTGCTTAACCGAAATCGTTGTATAAACAAAGTGCCCGACATTTCATGTATTGTTTTCGATATACTGACGATATAAATCTCTTTGGCCCGGCGTTTTAACCACACTTCTTCGTTATGACCGGACCGCAACATATTTAAGGTATACATTTTATACATTTTAAATGCTAAAAAGAAAATATAAATAGTCTAAAATCAACGCGAATTAACAAAACACTTCTGTCTTATAGCAGCTGTGAGCTGATTCTAAACTTTAAAGTTATAGACGCCACTTTTTTAGCGTTAACTCAAGGGTCTCGCCGTTCGTTTAGATAGCGTTAAAGAACTTAGATTTGAATTCTCAAGCGCTTGTCAAACGTGCAACTTGGCTACCATTTTGTATGAGATCTTGTGATCCACATTGTAGAATCGCTCAGTTCGTTTCTATTTTTAGAACGAACTATGTACCTTGTAAACTTGGCTACGAATTTTCAATTCGATCGTTTTGACCACGTGACATATCGTTCAAAATACGTAATGCCCATACATTTCATTAGTTTTCTAAATCGTTAACGATTGTAGATAGTCATCATGGCTAAGCCCCCTGATATATAATAAGGTTTTGCTATTGTACTAAAGAAAAATTGTATAATATTATTTATTATATATCATAAAATATATGTTACACAAAATAAAGTAACAGAATGTCGACAAAGGATAACTTATCTCTTTTAGAGATTTCTTTCAGAAATCCTTCAGAAGTGAGAAAATAAGTTCATTTAGTGCGGTGTAGTGTAGGTACAGTACAGCAATAAATGGTGGTAAGTATTAACCTAAAATATATCAATTAAATATTTTATTTATACAAAAAAATATATTTTATTTCAATTTTAGTTAAAATATCGGTAGTATTCCTAGGAAAGCCAATGGTACCTTGTAAGGCCGAAAAACAAACATCAAAAAATTGACAGTTGACCTTGCTAGGGTACAGGGATCTTGCTAGGAACATTTAGGAATCACGAAAATATTATACTTAGTTTTTAGTTTTAAATACGTATCGGGAAAAGTAAAACAATGTATAACTTCATAATATTGCCTATAATCAAGCTTTAAATAGTTTTATTTCATAACTTCTTTTGGCCTTATTAGGAACAGACCCATAAGAAGGCCATTATAGTCGGTTTCAATTTTTATTCATTTCATTATAAAGATTATTGGCAACTTATTTGATATCGATTTAATGCTTATTAAAATTATTTTTAAAGTTTTTCTCGAATACATTCTTAGTTTTACGATAGTGTTTAAATATAGTTAGGTGACTATTTTTTATGTGAATATATTATAATATGTAGGTATAATGTATTTATTTAATGTTTCATTTTAATGAAAGACCTTTTGATGAAGATTAAGGATAACCAGATATTTTGATATATCACTTAATAATTTGTTTGTTTCATTTATCCAATAAATAAAAGAATTATAACTGTTTATTTGTTGTTGTTTATTTATTGAGTATCCTTCCATGGTCCCGCCCACCTTATATAAGAACTACGGTAATTAGTATTAATGAATATTATCTTATTCATTCGGTGACCTTTATCTTCAAATATCTCGAAAACGCAGCACTGGAAGGGCATGTTGCACATATATTTTATTTGCTTAATGTCGTTTTTTCCGTTCGTTGTATACCAGTTTTAGTTGCGCCGCAAGTTTAGAAAAAGAAAAAATTGCGATGAATAGCGATACGTCACAGAAACGCTGTCCACTCTGAAATTTGGAGAAGTTATTTCATAAGTTCCAATTAAGGTCCCTACTTTTGTAATTTCTTTTTCAAAGAGATAGAAATATTATATTCTGATTATATTTTCGTTTTCTTCTAATACATGGAGATTCTGGTGTATGTGAGTTTCTTTTAAAAATTTACTCAGGGACAAAGGACACGAGGATTCATAGGCCTAGTTCCATCTACAAAAGATGGTTTTATGTAGCATCCGGTAGTTTGCATTTCCGCTCATGGGACACGAGGGTTAAGTATATAGTAAATATGTTGTTATATTAATTTTTATAGATTTTAGGTAGGTTAGATAATTTTTATGGAAAGCGCTTCTAAAACTAATCTTCTAGCTAGAGAGAAATTTAAAAATAATTGGAACACATAGTAGTTCATATATGAATAACTAGCAACTCACCCTCTTTTCCCTAGGTACGTTTTAACGATTAGTATATATAGACTATATACTGTTATATACATATATTATTTTTTTCTAACTTAAACTTGACGTATTGTTGTAGATAGTAGGTCCACCACTATTAAAAGTAATCCGAAGTAGTGATTCCCATACAAAATAATTTATATTTAAACCATCCCTGATATACATATCTCCAACAAAACAAAATAAGAATTATTCAAATCGGTTAAGCTGTTTTTGAGTTTTAGCGAGACTAACGAACAGCAATTGATTTTTATATTTATAGATATAAAACATACATGAATAAGTAAAATAATTATTTTATATAAGTCGCGGAAAATAAATAAGTCATATTATCAAATCAAATCAAAATATTTTATTCAGCATTAAATTATTACAATTTTTTACTGAACATCATGAGTCTACTACCAGTTCGGAAAGAAGAAGCCACAGACCTGAGAAGAACTGGCGAAAGAAACTCAGCGGGACTAATATTGACTTGTTATCTTTTTTTAAAGTAAAATTATAATTTACAAAATTATTATAAAATATATACATAGGTATATAATAAAATGCATAAGTCGCGGTTCGTAACATAGGAACTCTTTTGGTGACGTATTGCTGCCACATAATATAACGATAATTTTGCAAAGCAACGAAAACATAGAGTAGGTCTTGTGTTCGCGACTACTTGTTATTGTTGTTAGTTCATATGTTACCGCGGTTCTGCGTCTGCGACAGCGCACTCGGTTCTGAACGCTCCATGCGGTTAACAGGCCTAGTTAAAATGTTCACAATGAATTAAATTAGTATAATTTGTATATTTTGTTTTAGTTCAGCAGATAAAAGTAAATTTTAAAATTTAATAAAAATGGCTGTGATCAATATGAAGATTTTTGGTAAGTTTATTAAATACATATAATAATTATTAAATTACCCGCGCAAAACATAGAAAAAGTTTTATCTTTAAAAATTTAAGTATATTTTATTATTATTTTTAAGTATATAAATTATAAATTAATATAATTCATACGTAGAAATGTAAAATTAGTTATCTATAATAAAGAATATTAAATAAATAATAATTTTAGTTATATACCTAGTTAGGTTTAATATATAAATGTCATCATCTTGTTTATCTTTTGTAGGATTTTATTCCTTTCGTCTGGAAATAGAATCTGTCGACTCAAACTATAGGTTCCTAACTAGGTATTTTGACCGGTTTTGAATCTACTATTTTTATTGAGGGTAAAGCTCTAAGATCGTCTTAGTGTGCCGGAGTATCATGAATTCATTAGTAAAAGTGCACCTAAGCTTTTATTTTATACTTTTGTATTTTTTTTAGATGTGATGTCATGTGATTTTAATGAAATTCAAAATTGAATAAATTTTAAAAATGAGCGCATTATTTTATATTACTGTTATAATATTTGTACCGTTTTTCTTTCATTAGAATTAGAAAGTTCTAATCTAATTTGTGCAAATTTGTAAAGGAAAATTTAAGTATAAAGGTAAAAAAACATTACCTACTAAGATTATATTGTACTAGCGACTCAACCTCTCTTCGCTCGGGTTCGTTCCTAGCTTGCTTCCCAATACAAACGTTCATCCCCTTTTTCACCCCTTAAGAGATGATTTCCGGGTAAAAAGGTATCCTATGCCCTTCCCAAGGTCACAAACTATCTTCTTACCACATCTAAATCGATTCAGTAGATCCAGAGATTACCCCCTAAAACGTCACAATCTCACAAACTACCTCTTTATAATAACTACATATATGTTTTTACTTGTATCTTTTATACCTATTGCTAATTTGTTTTTTTTTCTCAAGATAGATATTATTATTTTTCTCTCTTCTTTTGTTGCTTTAAGTAACTAAATAGGTATAATAGCGACTTTAATTTTTTTGGTTATAATTTATAGTGCTGTTCATTTTTAATTTTTTAAAGGCTCCGTGTAATTGTTCTTGCATGTCGTGGTTACCTATAAGTATGATAACAGTTAGATTTAGACCTTCTTTCTACAATTGTGTATTTTTGTTAAGTTACTGTATATCAAGTTGGTGATCCTAATTAAATAAATAAATATTAGTATATAATAGTAGTAAATAAGTAAATATAGGTACATAATATGTAGATTGTAGGTATGTGATAAAACAGCAATAGGAGCAGTGCTTGTACAGTCAAAAGGTTTTTTATGCTGATTACAATCGACACAAAAAATGGTCGATCGTGAATATAGCCGAATATATTTTAATTATTAAATATCTCATTTAATATATTAGATTAGCTACGTTTTCAGTTATAAATTATAATGTGTCCCCGGTTTAGTTTGAACAAACCGCTCGAGCCCCTTACATTATACAATTTTTAATAGGAGAGTTATATAGAGATTGACTTCGTCAAATATAGTCAAAGCATGCGAAACCATTGATAGACTCTAGTTTTGAATTACAGTACCTGTATAATATGGCAATGATTGAAACGATGACGATTAGATTTTACTTAGCATAATGATATGCAAATGTCTAATATTCTCAATAAACGTTTAGGTTTACATAAATATGTACATACATGTAGATTCAAGTGGAAAGAAAGTTTTAATAAAAATTGCAATAACTAAACACGTAAACGCTTCTTCGATTTCAAAATTAAATTATTATCCGTGGGTAGCCTCGCAGTTGATCTTACATATAATTATAAGATTATGTATAACCAACTTATTATTTTTTGTTAAAGAAATATTTATATGTATTGCCTTAATTTTATTAAGGTATGTAATATGTTCCATTATCCATATGTGCGCTAATTTCCTATAAACAATTTTATTTAAAGAAAAACCGTTTTTTTTTGTTTTCAAATAAAAGAGAATGAATTCATTTTAAAAATGATACGACTAACTGTAGATTTCATAATTTGGTGAAACTATTAAGTTTTACCACAAATTCTCAAAAACCTCTATTATTTCGCAAACAACTTGTTCATGGCAGTAAAAATATATATTTATTAATTTGATAATACTTATAATATATATATATATATATATATATATATATATATATATATATATATATATATATATATATATATATATATATATAGACGATATGGAAATAACAGTACTTTCTTACGAGTATAAACATACATTATTATGTATGTAATGGTGCTAATGTAAATTATGTTAAGAAAAGTATATTTTATTTTTGACTCAATTTTCCCGAAAAAATGTAGACATTTTTATGATGTGGAAATTACATCTAAGTTTAAGGGGATAAAACGGCTTCTCATTAGATGATTAGGACTGATTTTTCATATTGCAATTTCAATAAGCATTTTACTGTGATTCGTATATATTTTTTTAATATTTTCCTTATACTTACATATATACTACAAGTATATTATTTTTATCATTTAGCTTATCTTTAGTACCTACAAAAATAGCAATTTCTCTTAATTATTGATACTGGTTTTAGTTAATGATAAGTATTTCTATTTAATGAGCATTTCAATTTTCTTTTCGTTATATTATATTAAGAAATATTTATATCTATACGTCTATTTCTTAATATTTATAATGAAATGAAAACAAAAGTACCGTTACGTATTGGAATTTCTTACCGGTAAAGAGTATACCTATGTCTTAGGGAATCTGTGAAAAACTTATTCTACATCAATATTGTATTAGTTATTTAAACATTCTGTGATATTATTGCTGTTATGGAATCCGTTTATTATAAAAATATTTGCCATATTGTTTAAAAATTTCCACACGACATCTGTGACATGATACTTTTACTTACGTTCAAACATGTTTTGAATAACAATGTTTTGCTATAATGTTCTGTAGGACATAACAATGTAGTTATGTCCTGTCGAAATATTGTGGAACATCGGTACTGATACATGTAAGTATCAACAGGGTAATTTAAGTCCTCCTAACTATTATAAGAAAGTAACATATAACAATAAGCAATTAAAGCAAATATCAGAATATTCGTTTTAGAAGAACTTGGGTTAAAATTAAAGAAAGGAAAATCCTTTAAGTAGTGTCTAAAAGTTCTACCTAATTTGAAGCTTGAAAAACAATATCTGTTTTGTGCAAAGTTCACAGAAATGTTCGCAATTTACTTTGTTATCAAATACCAGCGCGTTGTTGACGCCAAAGAATGCAAACGATAAAAGAAGTTTTCAATTATGCGTTTAGAACGTGATTTTATAGGATTTTTATCCGAGATCGTAACCATAATGTGATTAAAGTTAGGTTGCCTTGAAAAAAAAAATTAAAGACTCAACTTAATCAAAATATTACTATGTATTTAAAACAAAAAATATTGTTTATTGTAAAACTAACAAAAAATACAAAATATATTTTTATATTATTATTTGTGCATAATGATGTCAATTCCAGAATTATATTATGATTTTATATGAAACATTACACATAATAAGTATACCTAATGGCAAGACTTATCCTGTACTTCACTCGACGGCCTCAGGTGAAAGTACATTTGGGTTAACGACTCTCTATTCAGCTTACGAACTCTAGTGTCGATCATTTTACAGTTATATAAATTTTGTTATACATATCTGGATTATTAAAGTACCTAAATGGAAAACTTTTCGTTATATTACATGTACCCATGATAACTAGCGTAAGCGTAAGGAAATGAGATTTGTGCCTGTTTGCCGAGTTCACGCCTATTTTTCTGTTTTGTGTTGGTTTTTGTGTCCGGTTCGTAAGTATCGCGGCCGTGAAACGCTATCAATATTCATAGTATTATTTGAGTAGAAGAGACCTATATGACAGTCAAAATAATTATTAAGAAATATATTACTTTTTTACAAGAAATAATAGTAATATGTACAATAAAATTAACTTTATACTTTTAAATCATATAAAACTCAAATACCCACTTATTGTTTAATGTATTTATTTACATATACTAGAATAAAACATTGTACAAGTCGTACCTCTAAAGTAAGTTTCTCTATGTAAAATTTCACTTTGACTTTAATAACAGCAATATTAATAGATTTATAGATTTCAATAAGACTTTAGTACTTATCGTATTTATAGAATATAGTCTAAATAAAAGCTAGGCAAAGTTTAGCTTCGAGATCTACAAATGAACAAAAATATTATGTCGAATATTTTATAGATTTTTATTAACGTCAATACTTTTATTTATAGGTACATACCTACGTATAATAAAACTGTAGAGGTCGAATGTCTGTACATAGAAAAAAAATGCTAAAAACCGAGTCAGGGGGATGTAAGAAGAGAAATAGAACAAATCCAGATTTTTTTCAATTTTTTTGTTTCTCCGTCTGTTTGTCTGTTTCTACGGGCTAATATCCGAAACTGTTGGACCGATGTAAATGAAATTTTGCATGGTGGTACCTTATATCCCCGGTCAACATTTTAGATACTCTTCATCCCGAAAAATTAACGAATTAAAAAACTATACTAACTTATACACCTTAGTACCCAACAACTTATGCACCTAACTTAGTAAAATTTGGCATTCTGATACCTTATATTGCCCGTCAAACAACAGGTTACTTTTTATCCCGGAAAAATGAACGGTTCCCGTGGGATAGATCTGTTTGTGCTTTTCTAGAGGTGAACCCGAGCGAAGCGAGGGTGAGCCGCTAGTAATTAATAAATGAACAAGAACTAAAAAGAATGAATCCAATGTAATGGAATTATTAGAATTTAACTTTAATTTTTCTGTCACATGATTTCGGAACGCTACTAGTTCTAAGTAACTAAGATTAGTAACAGTGACAAGTAATTTGGATCGCTTTATTGCACTCATCTGCTTAATTGATAATTTAATCTGGTTTGTGTTTCCACTTTTGTTACAGATTGACCTAATGTGGGGATTTAGTTGCGCTAC